AGAAACTATAAAATGATTCTCGCGGAGGTAAACATACATCCTGCAGCTTGTCCACGCAATCCACGCATTCGTATGGAAAGACAATAAATTCCGCGCGTCAATAAATCAAATTCTTCGACGGATAATTTTAGAAATTCTGACCGTACAATTTTTAACTTATCTTTACTGAGGAATGATGCCAATTTGTTAAGACTGCTGTTGAGAAATTTGTACGAATCGGTGGAACGCAATTTCACAACATTTTTTTAGTTATCTGCAAGTGGGGGAGTGGTTACCCCTCAGAACCTCCCAGAGGCGACAACCGCCCGGCTTACCGTTATCCTGCATCCATCTCAAATCTCAATCTGAGATGAGTTCTAATCGATTTGCCCCCCCGTTTCAGAATACCTCTCGGCTGAGGTGGTCCTCTACCTCCCCTTCCCTCCAGAGTCAGGGGGTCTAGGGGAGAGTGGCGTAGAGGGGGGTGGTGCGCCCTTCTTCTGCCCTCTTCTCTTTCTTTCGGTTTCTGCAGCTTCCTTCTGCGAGATTACATCCTCGCAGAAGGGGACCATCGCCTCGCAGGCCTCAGGCCTCTCGATCATCTTGGATATGTTGACCGAGAGTCTGAGGTCCTGCCCCACCACTGCGACGAAGTGACCGCGTTCCCGAGCCCACGCTGGACACACCTCCAGTGTGTGCTCCGCGGTGTCCTCGTCGGCCACGCAGTGGTGGCACTGTGCCGTGCGCTCTTTGCCGATACGACACAGGTACCGACCGAAACAACCATGTCCGGTCAGCACCTGCGTCAGTCGGTACGTTAACCACTCGTGGGCTCTGCCTAGCCATTCCTCCAGGCAGGGCTGGATGACTCCCGTGGTCCGGACTCCCGGTGCATTCGGGGCCCTCATTAGCGCCCGCCACCGCTGAAGCGCCCTGCGCCGAGCCGCCTCCCGTATCCTTTTTAGGGCCCTGGCCGTGACCCCTCTTTCTCCTCGGCGGAGATCCCTGGCCTCCCTGTACATTTCGGCATACAGTTTGGCCAGGATCTCCGCTAGTATCACGCCGGCCAGAGCCGTGACGGCTGCATGAGACACCGTCCGATACGCCCTAGTGAGGCGGGCCGCCATTCAGCGTAGGACCTGTACCCACCGTGAAAATAATCCTCGGCGACAATTGCGGTAATCAATTAACATTACCTACAGAAACTTGCAGAAAGCTGATGGGAAAACGTCTCGACATCCAACGACAAAGCTGGTTTGCAAATTGACAAACCATCGTTCTCTTCGCTGTCGATTCAAGATTTGGTAATGGAATTTTTGTAAGATGGTGTTGTGTGTGTGTGATTCCAAATTTATAAAACATACATTATTTAATAAATATTTATATCTAAAACCTGCTACCATAAAATACATTATTTACTCATGAACATTGCATCGATCATATGTATGTATGGTTGTCTGAAAATAGGCATCTTGTTAGTATAAAATTTCAAAGTTTTGTAAATATTCTCCGAGAGAAAGACATTACCGAAATATATCATGCGGCAAAAGCAATATGTGAAAGCAGCGAGTATGACTGTGAGTCGCTCGTTGATTGCAAGTTGCTGGCATGCGCCTTGAAAGATATTATGTATGAGGTTATGAATAAGTGAAAAAACATTTTTAAAAATATATTAATATCTCTTCTCTCTTTTATTTTTCCCAACCAAATCTTTGAAAAAGTATCTACGTAGATATATCGTAGGTATGCGATAGCTCGAAAGCATACGATAGTGCATATTTAAAGGTAAATTTTTATTGGGGCTGCATAGTTTTGAAGGGTAAACTCAGCTACTATCTTAAAAGATTTGATCTCCTCAAAAGATCTCGAACTTTTTGGAATATTCGAGAATATTTTAGAAGATGGCGCGCGGACGGATGGCCGGAGAGGGGGAAAGGCTGTGAATATTCTAGAAGGAGGGTGGGTGCGCTGCCCGTTCGCGAATCGCTGCGAACAGGGAGGGGGAAGGGCCACGAACGCGTCGAAAAGCGGAGAGGGGAGGATCGCAAGGTCGATAAAATTATCAATTATGTCGATATAAATGATGTTAATAAAAAATATGTAGAAAGATATGTCGGTAAAAACAGATCGCAGGGTCAATAAAAATTACCAATTATGTCGGTAAAGAAAATTAAATATGCCGACAAAAATATATGTCGGTAAAAAATTACCGACCGTTGGTAAGCCCCCTTGCCCCGCGTGACGTCGTCCCTTGCGCCCGCGGTTCCCATCGTCCCGCACTTCCCCTCAGAGGACCAGAATTAGAACCCCTGTACTATATCTACTCAAAAAGTACTTAACCCCTTCACTGTATAGTACGTCTATACATCTACACGTACTCTGACAAATGTTCAATAACAGTTAAGTAAATTAGCGGATCTGCACCAAACTTGACACTAGGATTTTAAGAATCGCTGAATATAAATTTGAGGTTAAGATTTAATATTTTTTGATGATAGATCTATTTTGAAGATCATTTTGAAATTAATAATAGGTATTTAATTGCAGATAACAAATACTTAACAATTTTATATCGTTCAATTTAAAATAGGAAAATAATCGAGGAAATAATATTTTTACCCTTGCAATTTCTGGTGAATATATTTGAGTCTTTTTTTTTTTATTTAGGTAGAGAAAATGTTTTACGCACACCCCCAGGAAAGACGGGACTTTCTCAGGGGTAGTGTGGGACTCTCCCCCCACCGGAACTAACCGTCCGGGAGAGGGAGCCTACCCACTAAAACCTCTGCCGGGCCCCTTACGGCCATTGCGAGGACGTCCCAGGAACCGCTTGCGCATTACTTCCGGGACGCCCTCAGTCGCAGGGCGAGGAAAAACCTAAACCCCGCTCCCAATCCCGGGCCGGAGGGAGATGTTCCCCATCCTCAATGACCGGACGTGGGCCTCCCGTTCGGTCACACCTCACCTGTTAGGAGCTCTATTGGCCGGGTCGCTATGCCCTCCCGCCCCCTTCGGTCAGGACCCGCCAAACTTAGGGAGGGGGGTAAGCGGCCTGAGAGTCCGCCCTTGCGAACCAGCCGCTCTGTCCCTCTCCCGGAGGCGCCTGGTCTGACTCCTTGTCACGGGGAGGAGTCGTGCCTTGCGACGCGCTTTCCCCGCCCGACCAGACGCCTCCTATCTCCCCCAGGCCAGTTCCTCCGGCGAACGCCGCCAGGAGGACCCGGCGGCATGGGGGGGGGGGCGCACCCGCAGGTATCCCGGGGGAGGGAACGCCAGCAGTGACGTATCCTCCCCGCCCACGGGTGCGCCGCCCTTCTATCCCGCGCTGATGCGCGGGTAGGTGAGGCGCCGTCCTTCTCCTGCGGCGCCTCACCCCGTCCCAAGGAGCGGCTTTGCCCCTCCTAATTCTTACCGCCTCCTCCTTCTTCGATACAACTGCATCGCAGAAGGAGGTGACGGAGGTCCAGCCCTCATCTCCTCCGAGCATGGCCCTGACAAGGGCCGGGGGAGAGAGGTCCGCTCCCATTACTTCAATCAGGACTCGGCGCTCTGCCACCCACGAGGAGCATTCCTCGAAGGTGTGCTGCGCCAAGTCCACCTCGTCACCACAGTGGTGGCAGCGGGAGGTGATCTCCTTGCCTATCCTATGCAGGTACTCACCGAAGCATCCATGTCCGGTGAGCACCTGCGTTGTTCGGAAGGACAACTCCCCGCGGGCCCTGTCCACTCCTGTAGACAAGGCCGGATGGCTTCGGCGACCCTCATTCCCGACCGGCCCGTCACCCCCTCCAGATGGATGCTTTTAGGAGGAGGTGTTGACGGGCTTGGTCTTTCGCTAGACCGATGGCCCTGGCCAGATGTTCCAAGTCTCCCCCAACACAGAGCCCCTTGACACGCCGATAGTTCTCGGCGTGCATCTGTGCAAGGAGCTCCAGCGGGGGGAGACCGGCCAGGGCTGTGGCAGCCATATGCGACGTCGTCCGGTAGGCCCGGGCGAGGCGAATAGCGACCTACCGCTGAACGCGGTATGCCAGCGCGATTAAGCGCTGGTTGATCGCCATCGCGCTCGCCTAGACCGGGGCCCCGTAAAGGGCCATGCTGTTGACGACGCCGGCATACAGCCGCCGTGCCCTTCTCTTGATATTTGAGAGTCTAAAAACTTTGCAATATACATAATATTAGAGAATTCCACCAATTATTTGGAGTTTTTGACATTTTGATCCACCATATTGGATCCGCCATTTTTAGTTTTTTTTATTTTCACTCCAAATTTGTTTTCAATTCCCTACCGGGATTTACAAAAATTCGCCAATTTATGGAATTCTTTATAACCTTATTCGTCATATTGGTTCCGCCATTTTGAATTTCGACTTTACATTCGTGTTCAGCAATGTCAAAAATAGTTATATACAAAATTTTATGAAAATACGTCTGGTAGAACACCCTACACATTTTTGCACCACTTAGTAATTTTGCTCTCTACAGTGAAGAGGTTAATAAAAAAATATGTTATTATAGTGTTTTGGAAAACTTTCGAGATAAGCTATAAAAATGTGCAATAAAAAATAGGAGGTTTCATTTAAAAAATTCAAGGTAATTTTGAAATAACCTTGACAATGGTCGCCAAAGTTAAAGTCAAAATCATCTTCGGATGTTTTCCTTCAAATCTTATAACTTTTATCTGAAGTATTTTTTATAAAAATGCTTTTCTGAAGAGATATTCCAGTGCGTCATTTGAAATGGGATACCCTGTGTAACCCGAGCAACACAAAGTATTAGATCAATGTTGAATTTAAAGGAGTCAATCCGTTAGCTAAATAATATGTATTGCTAGGAAAACTATTCATAAAGAACGCTTTTATAAATCAACTAATAAAGTTACCGTCAAATTTTACATTTGTCTATATGGGTCTAATTTTATCACTTGTTTATTTATGGAAAAATAATAATTAACACTAATTATTTAATTTGAAAACAGTATTGATCCAAAAGACGATTAATCTTTCATTTCCGCTGCGTAGGTAAATTTCTTCGTTGGTGCATTTTACGACGGCGTTTACTTATTAGGAATCGCATTGAACGAGACCTTAGCCGAAGGTGGCGATATCAGGGACGGCATATCTATAACAAGGAGAATGTGGGATCGAGATTTCAATGGCATTACAGGCCACGTCAGGATAGACGACAATGGGGATCGTGACGCGGATTATAGCATTCTGGATTTAGATCCCATTACCGGAAGGTCATTGAAAATTTAAGCAACTCACTTACTCGCGACTTTGTTTCGATAATCGAAAAGCTTTGCGCACATTATGTATTCATCATTACAGGACATAACATTACAATTTCGTCTGACAAGGAAACCCACACAAATGTCCGCCTCCGATTTTCATGAACTTATAATATGTTGTACTTTAGATCAAAATAAAATAATTATTTAGTTTAGTGGACCCACCCCCAATGATCTTGACCCCCAATGACCTTGATATATATAATAGAGGTCACCCTCATCAGTGACCTCCTGAAGGTTTTAGTCGGCGGTCATTGTTTGTTAAAAAGTTATTAACAAAAGAAGTTGCATAAAATGATTGTAATTTTTGGATATTATATATACAAAGTGAATAATGTGAGTGAGTGTGCGTACGTACGTATGCAACTGAACGTAACATATTATTGCGAGTGACATAACATAACAGTTTAAGTTAGTTTAAGTTTAGGTTAAATTTGGTTATGTCACTCGCGACAATGTGTTACGTTCAGTTGTATACGCACGCACGCACACTTACACACACTGCTCACTTTGTATATATAGTGTCCAAAAGTTACACTTATTTTAAGCAACATCTTTTGTTAATAACTTTTTAACAAACAATGACCGCCGGCTAAAATCTTCAGAAGGTCACTCAGGAGGATGACCTCTATTATATATGTCAAGGTCAAGGTCATTGGGGATGGGTCCGCTAAACTGAATAATTACCAAATCGGTTTTTTTTTATTCGAAAAGAATATAAGGAAAACTATAATAGATTGAAAAAATATTTTGAATAAAAGTTGAATAGTTTGAAGAATACAGAAATTATTTGAAAAAAAAAAAATTTTTTTTGTTAATATTTCCTCCATCACTTCTTATTCTTTAAAATTTTAAATTTGTTAATAACGAAATTAAAGCTTATTTCAATATGAATTCAACCATGTATGATAGAATTATTTTCCGCTATTTAAAAAAAAAATTACAAACTCTTATATACACGTGCCATTCGTATCCGTTTGTGAGCTCGATTCTTTACGCAGCACGCATTCTACTTGCATTTTTACTTAGAGGAAATGACGAAGCAGTACTATAATATGCTGTCGCTTCGCAAGCGTTAGTTTAGTGCATTATATCGTTTAATCTTATATCAATTGTTACGACTTTGTAAGTATATTAATATTTTGAAAATGTATATGAATGTTTATATTTTTCTTACAATTTTATATTTAACTTTTAAAAAGTTATTACATGAAATCTTATTTATAGTATTTTTTCTGAAGTATCTGAATATATATACTATCCGGATATTTTAATAATACAAATAGCACTATTTGCACTATTCGTGGCGCGAAGTATATCTGAATATCCCGATAATATCCGTGTGACGGATTATATTGATAATTATATATTATACCTGAATGTCCGGATATCGGAATAAGGATATGATCCGGATTTAAGTCACAGCCCTAATAATTACTAATTTATTTTTAAACAGATATGTATGTGTTTACAATTTACTATATAATTTTTAACGTAAAATGCTATTCAATCCAAGAAACGTAGTAATGCTGCTTCTTTTTTAAAGGAGGATGTTAAAAACGTCCGATTTTTGGCCCTCTTACGGAACCTTAGTTAACTATAAAAATTGTTGTTTGTGAAATAGTAAAAAATAGTAAAAAATTGTTGTTTGTGAAATAGTAAATGAAATAGTAAAAATAATTTTATATCCAAGAAATGCGGGGAAAGTAGATTTTTTTTATGTTATATAATGTCTCCTATTATAAGTCGAATTTTTGTATATCACGCTAGAACTTACGAATCAGATGTATTGCAAAAGGATTTAGTTAAGAGTCACTAATCACAAATCTGTTACTAACAATGGCAAATTATGGACTCAAATAGTGGATTCAAAATGACATTCTTGACATGCAGTTTTATACGTAGGATTATAGTAACTGAATTTTTTATTGGGTGTACAACTTAGTTCGGTCCGTTTTCAAAAGATGGCTCTAGGTGCTATAAATAGTTGACGGCGACAGCTGATTTTTGCTGTATCGTGAAGTGTCAACATCTGTCAACCAAATATTGTTTACAAGCCTTTGAGTTTTGCACAACAAGTTTAATTTTTACTGCGTTGAAAATGTCGAGTTTCGTTCCAAATAAACACCATTTGCGAGAAGTTTTGATTTTCTGTTTCAATTGGAAGAAAAGTGCAGCTGAAGCGCATCGAATGTTTGTGGAAGTTTATAGTGAATCTGCACCGTCGGATAAATCTTGCAGAGAATGGTTTCAACGATTTCAAAGTGGTGATTTTAGTGTTGAAGACAAAGAGCGTTCGGTTCAACCGAAAAAGTTTGAAGATGAAGAATTAGAAACATTACTCGATCAAGATTCGTGTCAAACGCAAAAAGAGCTCGCAAGAACATTGGAAGTTACTCAACAAGCTATTTCGAAACGACTCAAAGCCGCGGGATACATCCAAAAGCAAGGAAATTGGGTCCCATACGAATTGAAACCGAGAGATATCGAACGACGATTTTGCATGTCCGAAATGTTGCTTGAACGGTACAAAAAGAAGTCTTTTCTGCATCGAATCATTACCGGGGACGAAAAATGGATTCACTACGACAACCCGAAACGCAAAAAATCGTATGTAAAGCCCGGCCAACCGGGAACATCAACGCCGAAGCCGAATATCCATGATGCCAAGGTAATGCTCTGTATTTGGTGGAATCAGAAAGGTGTGATCCACTATGAGCTGCTAAAAGCTGGTCAAACCATTACGGGAGACTTCTACAGGCGACAATTGATCCGTTTAAAGCGAGCTATAGCCGAAAAACGTCCAGAATATGCGACCAGACACGAGTCCATAATCTTTCACCATGACAACGCTCGGCCTCATGTTGCTGTTCCGGTTAAAAACTATTTGGAAAATAGCGGATGGGAAGTTCTGGCTCACCCGCCTTATAGCCCAGACCTTGCCCCTTCCGACTACCATTTGTTTCGATCGATGCAGAACGCTTTGACTGGAATACACTTCACTTCAGAACAGGGTATCAAAAATTGGCTCGATTCATTTTTGGCTTCAAAAGATGAACGCTTCTTCCGCGACGGAATCCATAAATTGCCAGAAAGATGAGAAAAAGTAGTGACTAGCGATGGACAATACTTTCAATAATGTATTAATTCATTTTATCATTCAAATAAATGCGTTTTTCAAGCAAAAAAAGGGACCGAATTACAGTATGTTTGATAAGAGCGTGTACGGCAAAACTCAAAAACTTAGGATAATACATAAATTGAAAAAATTTGTACACATTATGCATGATATAGACTGCGATGCTTTATTATTAATAAGTTGTCCAGTCGCCTCCATTATCAATAATTGACTGGCATCTCCGAGGCATACTTTCTACTAATTTTACAGCATAATCTTCAGACAAAGATCTCCATATAAATCGAATCTGTCGAATTAACTGCTTGACGGTCCATATTTTCTTTCCTCGGAGCTTAAACTTTATAAGCGCCCAAACATTTTCAATTGGATTTGCATCTGGCGACTGTGAAGGCCAATCCAGTACGTCAACGTCATTTTCTTGTTTCCACGCAGTACAAAGTCTACTCCGATGTTTCGGATCATTGTCCTCTTGCAGTAGCCAATTTTCATTTTTCCTCGTAAACCACCTTTGGGCAGATGGTAATAAAGCTCTCTCATATATTTGGACCATTTTAGCAGCATCCAAATTTTGTGTAAAGATGTGTAAAGTGCCAAATCCCTGTTTTGAGAAACAGCCCCAGACGTGCACCTTTACCGGATGTTTAACGGTCCGCTCGATGAGTCCATTGGCCTGGGTAGACCAGACACGTCTGATAGAAGACTTTGCCCAAAACGAAGCTTCATCTGAAAAAATTACGTTGCCCCAATAGCGGTCCAAATTTTCTTTTGCCCAAGCAAGTCTTTTTTCGACGTGTTTTTCAGACAGCAACGGTTTCGTTATCGTGCTTCGAAATTTCACTTTATGAGCCAGTAAACGTCTTCTTATAGTATGACATGATATATTTAGACCCTTTTTAAGTAAAACCGCTTGCCCGCCACGCAATGATAAACAAGGATTCTTCTCAAACACCCGTAAAATCATTTTGTCCTCCTTTTTCGTCGTTTTCTGCACAGAGCCACGATCCGGCAAGTCATCAACGTTTTTGACCTCGGAATAACGTTTCACCCACTTACTCACAAACGCCTTAGACTTCTTCATATACTTAGCAGCCGCTCCACGCGACATTTTTGGTCCTTTCGGATGCGAACATAGAAACACAGCTTCGTGACGTGATGCGTACGCGGCACTCATGTTGAAATACGCCCTTTTGTGACGAAAGTCAAACGATAATTAAGGCTTTCTAGACAAAGCATCTTGGGAGAAGAGCCCCGCTATTGGCTCGCGTTCATATCCCCCCTCTAACGGTTTCGAGGAAAAAGTTTTGCCGTACACGCTCTTATCAAACATACTGTAAGTTGTAAACAATAATTTGTACACCCAATATCAAAATGAATTTAACCATGCTTTTTAAGACATGCTGATTACAAATCCACTAATTAAATGAAAAAATCAATGGTGGTGAATTCAAAATGATCAATCCAAAATATTTGTGTTCGATTAAAGTCACATATTTGAAATATTTCATATAAAAAAATGAATGCGCTTTCTTTCGAGATCTTCTATTACGCACTGCTAAAATAGGGTTAAGAAAAAAATCAAATTAAAAAAAGATTCCGAAAAAATAGTGGATACTAGATAGCTGGTGTAAAATTATTTGCTTCAGTCGATGAAAATAGTCTACTTAACACTCTCAATCAAATCCAGAAACAACGGAGAGGATGTGGTGGTTACTATCTCTATTATTTTCTTTCATTTTTTAAATGTTTTTTAAATTTTTATTTTAATTTTTAATAATAGATATGCTTATATTAATTTTGATAAAAAATTCGATTA